AAATAGGTTTAGGTATGTACCCATCTGTCTGCACATGCAGGAATTTAATGTACCAAACTTTTGAGGGAGTTTCCTTTCCTTTTTTCTTTCTTTCTTTTTTTTTTTTTGTGTGTGTAAAATTAGGAGCAGCACTAATCAGTTCTTATAAAAGTCAAGATGTAAAAAGTAGTAGATGTTTTATTTTGCTCTGGGTCTCAGTAGAAAACAAAACAATGTTTATAATTAGGAAAAGTTAAAAAAAAGATTGAAGCTTTTCTTATATTAATCACTTAGGGTAAGTAATTTTCTACCATAGTATCATGTGGTTTTTAATAATTAAAATTATACTTTTGTATTTAATTCTTATTACTTATTTAAATATTTACTATTTTTTTTGTGGTGCTGGGGATCAAACCCAGGACCTCGTACATGCCAGGCAAGCACTCTACCATTGAACTGTACCCCTGGCCCACTAAGAATTTAATTTCCAACTTAAACATATTTTGTATATTAACATATTAATATTATGCTTGTGTTTTTTAACTTTAATAGCTATTTCAGTATGCTAAATTGCTAGCTTGTATATGTGTTAGCAGTTTAAGAACAATGATTATTTTAGTTATTCCTTCTTATTAATGTGTATAGCATAGTTTCAAGTATTTTGGCAGGAGGGAGGGTATTATAGTTTGGGGAAAGGAAAAAAAGTAGGGAACATGTTTTTAACCCTAAAGATATATATTAAGGATACAACACACAAAGATGTGGAATATCTTTGTGGTACAATGTCACAAAGGAGTAAATTAAAGGTACATAGCCATTGAGAATCATCTTTCTATTTTTTATGCTACTAAATGGGAAGATAAAACAAGTGGGCAAATAAGACTATAGTAAAATAGATTACATAAGAAAGATTACAAAGGTAATCTCAACATTATGCAAAACAATGCATCTTATTATTTATTTACAGTTATTTTTATCATACATGAAGAAGGATGCAGGATGTCTGGATAGGGATTGAGGGATTCAAAGATGAGTAAGATAAAGTTATCTTAAAGAATATATAATTGAGATGGAAAGAAAAGATAATCACCTAAAATAAGGTAACTAGCAGTCTAGTAATCTACAGCAAGGTCGATTCCAAAAATAATAAACATTATGTGTTGTGATATCCTATGATTTGATCTTTATTAAGGCAAATAATTGGTTTCATTGATCTTACACTCTAATTTGTTGATTGAATCAGTCATATGTTGTGAATAAACCATAGTTTAAATTTTATGCCTAAATTCTGAATGATTTTAGGGGAAATTGTAGAGGGGAATTTTTATTTAAGTTTCCTGTGTTGTTTGAAGTTTTCTGGAGAGAGCGGTAAAAGATCCTGAAAAGAAAATTTGAAATAGAATTCTAGAAACCAGGTTTTAAAAATCACAGATGATAATTTGTGTGGTCAAGATAAGTCACTTCACCTTTCTGGATTTTTATTTTCTGGTTTGTGCAATGAAGTGTTTGGAAGTTCCCTACAGCATTAAATGCTTATGTCCACATTTCAGAATTGTAAATTTAATGGTAGCAGTGAGGTGATTTGCTTGGAGAAAATAGGTTTCATGGGTATTAAGTGGAGGTGTGGTTGAATAGCAAGGAGTAGGGGATTTTGAAGGTAAGTATGTGGCTTATGTTACTAATGCCAAGTTCATTTGAAGGTTTTCCTTTGATTTGGTAGTCACTAAGAAATCCATGAAGCAATCTACAGATATGGTGAGTGAAAATTTGGGAGTATCGTCTTGGCAGTTAAATATAGTTTGACTTAAGGCAAAAAGACCATCTAGGGGAGTCAGCAAGATAAATGCTTTGCTATATTATTTACTTTTAATCTTGACAGCCTCTCTGAGGTTGATATTATTACCTGACAATTGAGGGAACCTAGGGATAGAGAAGAGATTATGTGATTATGTGATTTGCTCACAGTCAGACAGCTACCAAGTGGTAGAACTGGGGTAGAACTGTCTGAGTCCAGGAATTATGTGCTGATCTCAAAACCATTACCCCACCCCCCCCCCATGTTGCTTTTTTTTTTTTTAAAGAGAGAAAGATAATTTTTAATGTTTATTTTTTAGTTTTTGGCGGATGCAACGTCTTTGTATGTGGTGCTGAGGATCGAACTCAGGCCGCATGCATGCCAGAGGAGCACGCTACCGCTTGATCCACATCCCCAGTCCAATTTTTAGATTTTTGACTTAAGTTCCTGCCCTGACTACAGAGTGAGATCCCTTTAACTTAATAGACTCAGCCTTATTAGAATTACATCTCTTCCAGTGGAAGAACTGAATTGTTTGCCAGTTTATTCACCCACTTCAAAAAGAAAGCCAATAGATTTTTAAATTCTTAAATTAATCAAATACTAATGAAAATGAATACTTCATAAAGAGAAAATAAAATACATTTATTTAGGAAATTCATTTATGTTTGAAAATAGCTTTACATAAATTAGCTTTACTAGCTTTAAAGTTTGTTTGATGCAACAAATTTTAACATGCAATAAATCATGTTTTTTTATACTTCCAAAGATTGCTGCATGAACAAGGAAACTAGGTAGATCAAAGTAGAACAAGGTAAAAATATTTTTTTAAATTGTTTGTTACTATTGTGTAATGATTCAAATACTGACATTGTTATAAAATAATGGCTACAGACAACATGGTATGATTATATATAATATTCCTATATTAGAATATATGTAATACTGCTATGTTAGATAGAGATAATTCTTTAGCTGAAAATTATGGCCAAAATTAAGGAAGTACAAAAATAAATGATCAAAATTTGCTTCTTCCTAAAATGCCTTATACATTTTGATTTAAATACAAAGACCAATGGGCTTGATTGAATTACAGTTTCAGCAGCCTAGGGATATTGAATGCAAACTCTTGCTTGTTGATATGAAAATGCTTTCATGAGCAGTATTTTACCTGTAAATATTCTATTTCTACACTTAAAATAGTAGAATCAAAAAAAGAGTTTTGCCTTATGCCTCTCCTTAGGTTTCTGGCATGGTTGACCAGGGAAGAAACAACCGCACAGAAGTTAGTGACTTCATTCTCATAGGCTTTGAGGTCAGCCCAGAACTCCATCTTCTCCTCTTCCTGATATTTCTGCTTGTCTATGTCATGATCCTTCTAGGGAATATTGGGATAATGGCCATTATCATGACTGACCCCAGGCTGAACACACCAATGTATTTCTTCCTAGGCAACCTGTCTTTTGTTGATCTCTTCTATTCATCTGTTATTGCACCCAAGGCCATGAGCAACTTCTGGTCTGAAAGCAAGTCCATCTCCTTTGCAGGCTGTGTGGCCCAAGTCTTTCTGTTTGCACTATTTATTGTGACCGAGGGATTTCTCCTGGCAGCCATGGCTTATGATCGCTTCATTGCCATCTGCAACCCACTCCTCTACTCTGTTCAGATGTCAGCACGTCTTTGCATGCAGTTGGTGGCTGGGTGCTATTTTTTTGGCTGTGTAAGCTCAGTTCTTCAAACTAGTGCAACATTCAGTTTATCCTTTTGTGCTTCTAGGGCCATTGACCACTTTTACTGTGATAGTCGCCCACTTCAGAGATTATCTTGTTCTGACCTCTTTGTCCACAATATGGTCTCTTTTACCTTATCCACCATCATTATCTTGCCAACCATTATAGTCATTGTTGTTTCTTACATGTATATTGTGTCCACAGTTCTAAAGATTCGCTCCACCGAGGGCCGCAAGAAAGCCTTCTCCACTTGCAGCTCCCACCTGGGAGTCGTGAGTGTGCTGTACGGGGCTGTCTTCTTCATGTACCTCACCCCTGACAGGTTTCCTGAACTGAGCAAAATGGCCTCCTTATGTTACTCCCTAATCACACCTATGTTGAACCCTTTGATTTACTCCCTGAGAAACAAAGATGTCAAAGATGCTCTTAAAAAACTTCTAGAGAAGAAAAATGGTATCCTATGATTATTATTTCTGTTCCTACAGTTGTATTGTGGCATTTATTTTATAACTCTTGTGACCACTAATGATATTGTTCTCAATATGAAAAAAGTACTGTTAGTAGAATTTTCCAGGTGATGTTCCCTTGCCCAAGGTTCCTTTTCCCATTCTTAGACATCATTAATTCTGAAAGTCCTGGATATGAGAGATGTTCTGGAGATTAGGGAATTATTTTCAGGATAAACCCTCTCACTGATTCGTAATTACATTTTATTTCACAGAATCAATGTGTATGCCA